AATCTGAATTCATTCGCTGGGCGAGATCACCGCTTACGTAGCCCCGGCTCTACTGTCTTGGTTTCCTAATCTGACGGCCCGCGCGTCACTTTAGCGATTCCTGGGGAACCCCGTAGCTGTGGGAGCACGTGGCCAGGTGGTTCCTGACAGGCAGCGTCCAGACACATGACTGGGCTCTCACGGTCCCATTCAAAACAGTGCCTGGGCCATTAGTCTTTTGGGGTCGTGGGAGCTGAGGACGCTAAAGCTCTGGGTGCAAGGAGTTCTCTCCCGCCAAGCATTCTCTCACAGCGCCCCACCACTACCACTCCCCTTTCCTTGCAGGGAAAGACGCACCGTGCGCTGGAGCGCGGTTTCCCGGTTCCCCATCATATGCCAGCGGTGCCGTGGGCACTCCGGGCAGTTTCCCCCTTCTTTCCCTGCCTGCTGCTTCGGGCACCCTGCTGGTCCAGGGGTCAGCCGAGCAGTCTGAACCCCAGACAAACACGCGGGACTACAACCTGGCCTCACCCCCATATCTGCAAAGACCGCTGTATTTCCATTTCATATTTCAATTTTAATTTGCCACTCAAAACAAAACCGCGCACAGAGCTGCCGGGAGAGAGAAACGCGCTGAGGCCAAGATAAAGGTACGTCTCCGGAAAAGTGCACCCAACTGCTTTCCAAAACGAAAGTCCTCGGGGACTTTGGCGAAATTTTATGTATGGTATTTTAACTTGTTTTCCTACCACGGCCCCGTTTTGCAGCGTGCACGGCTCAGGGCTTTGGCGACTCCCCGGTAGCCCCGCGGCCTAGCGAGCTTACTGGTGCAGCGGGTAGTAACCTCGCTTTCTGAGGCGGCACCGCACAAATACGCGGCGTACAAGGTCACCCTACTCAAGAACCACCACCGTAGCACAAGGTGGGGCCCCCAGCTCGCCTAAGTCTTTTGTGCAAATTTCTTAAAACAACTCACAAAAACATTCTCTCCCAAAAGTTTTCGTGTTCCCACACAACACATAAAGGGGTATCAGTTCAGGTGGTAGCTATACTAGTGCTCACATATATAACAATTCTTCGTACTTTCCACTTGGCGATCTACTGCACTGTATATAAATTATTTACAAGAAAGAAAACTTTCTACAAATCGATTGATTTAAAATAACACCAGACCTTTAATCAAGGCCTTCTATTTTTTTAATTTAAGAACCGGATTGTTTAGGCCGGATTGTTCGAGCAGGCTGGTGGCTACCGAAATTAACAAAGTAAAAAATTAAAAGCATCCTCCTTCCCAGCCCCCCACCAAAAAAATCTGACCCGGGGTCGGGGATGTCACTGCTCCCAGTTTTCCTTCCATCATCTCCAGTCACCCACCGGCTCTTTCTGCTTCTGCCCTCATCTCCGTTTCTTGATGTCTTTTTTGGGGTCCCATTCAAAAACACACCCTGGTTCTTTGATTAAATTCGAATACGACCCAACCCAGGAGGAGTAGATACATTTTGTGGCGTGTGGATTGTATTGGTGCGTGGAAATAAATATCCCTAGGATTCAAACACTGCGTCTAATTCGATAAATCAGGACCAGCCCCTCAATGGCGCCCTAGAGGTCTCCGGCCTGGCCCGCGTCTCCCCAGACCTCAGCTCTGAGAGCAGTTGCCTTCCGGGGGCCGGGTGTTTGGGAAGGTAGCAATCCGCTAGCAACGAAAACCTGCCTGCACCGAATCGAAAGCGAAAGAGAAGAGGGAGCAAGGCTGCTCCCCGAAGCGTCCCGGGGCGCATGGCTGAGGCCTGGTGCGCTGGCGGCGGCTGGGGATTCGGCCCAGGGTTTGGGGGGCGACGTGCCGGATCCCACAACCTGGAGGCGAGGAGGGTCTTCGTGCAGCTGAGTAATATCAGGTCTCCAACCTGGTGTGTCTCCTGGGGACCACGCAGCCACAACCGGGCTAGGGACAGGCAAGGACTTCGGACAGCCGAAGTGCGGACCCGGAGCCTGGAGGGGTCAGGATTGATTCAGGAGAGTGCCGGTTGGGGCTCTTTTGTAACAACGCGAAAATCTTTGTGCCGGAGAGGACTGCCTACTCATCTCGTTCGTCACCCTTTTAGTACTGATGGGGAAACAGAGGCCTAGTTAGGGCTAAAGACGACTGCGGCCTGGGAGGATTTCTCACCTCCACTCATGGCAACTCGGAGAAGACTCGGCCGGCGGAGTCCGAGGCGGCTTCCCAGCCGCGCGCTCCCTCGGCTTGTCCCTGGCGCTACCCCTCAGCCCGCACCTCACTGGCAGAGGACCCCTTGGACTAGGGGAGTGGCTCCCGGGGCTGAGGTCCGTGTAGTTACGCAGATCAAGGAACTGGCTTCTGGCCCCGGGATCAATAGAGCTGGGAAGGAGGTTGCGAGGTCCAAGCTACCTGCGGTTGGGATCGAGATCAGCCGAGGCCCAACCCAGCCCAGAGCCGAGGCCGCGTCTGCCCCCACTTTTCCCAAGCTCCTGGGAACATCCTAAGGCTTTGTCTTTGAACCCCGTTTTTCCCCTTTTGAATACACACTCTGACAATTGTGGGAGAGAACAGCTGTCGACATGTGCCTCAGTTTCCCTCCTTGCTGGCCATCTAGAGAGCCAAGTGCAGAAGCCCTTTCCCCAGCTGCCTCTGTAAAGGGCAGAGCCCCATCTTTTGGAGCCTCGGGTTCCTCATCTTGGACCTAAGGTGCCTAATCTCTTTTGTACAAGGGCCAGAAATCTCCTAGCCAGTGAAACTCAGTTGCTGAGAGAAGGAAAAGAATAAACAGAGCTGTTTGTTGTTTGTGGCTTTGCCCTGAGTAATGCCTCCATCTTGGGCAGGGGTGTGGGGTCCTGTGGGTTAGTCTAGGCTGCCTTTTGTCCCAACCTGCAGCTTTATGGCTCTGTCCAGAGCAGGGGCAGGCGCTTATCTCGTCTTCAGAATTGGTGCTCACAGGTTCCCAACAGCACAGAGGCTGATGATGGAAATACTAAGGAGGACAGATAAGCTAGGCTCCTGTTCTCTCCCTGGGAGTACACGTACCATCCAGTAAGGCTTTGCTATTATTTCCCCATGAGGCACATGAGGACCCAGATGTGGAAGAGTTCCTTTCTCACAGGTAACACTGTAGGGAGCCCCAAAGGCTAACACGAGTAGAGGAAGGGCTAGGCTGGCATGCGAGGGCCCAGTAGAGCTGAGAGGGTGCTCAGCGGGGGGGCCAGCCCTTTCCCCTGTCCCTCTGGACCTGAAGCCATCTTCCAAACAAGAGGGAGGAAGCTTGGGCTCTCTCCTTGCTTAATATCTCTCGGCCTCCTCAGAAGTGTCAGTGGTGAATTTCTTTAAAACATGAACATCGAGTGCAGTGGGAGAGAAAACACAGGAGTTCCCTGGCTTTGCACAGTGAACCTCCATGGGTGCCCCAGTTTGTGACTCGCCCTAACCTAACAGTCCCAAATGACACGGACAAGGAGGGGCCTGGTGAGGCCAGGAGGCAGGCCAGTGTGTGTGGACAGGACTGACTGAATGTGGAAGGAGCACCTGTGTGGAGATGTGAGTGTCTGTGATCTAAGTGTCTGATCCCATTCTAACAGGAAGGTGGAGGAGAAAGGTGGAGGAAGTGGGGAAAGGCCACCGGATCTTTCTAAATCTGCTTTCAGTCCAGTCCCATTTGGGAGTGTGTGACTATGTGCTAGGCCACATGAGTGAGTCTACTTGATGTGTAACTCTGTTGGCTCATGAGGAAGAAGTTTTGTTTTTGTTTTTGTGTATGCGTGTGTGGAATGCAAGTGTAGACAGGTACATGATTGTGTGAATGTGCGTGTCAACAACCACCTAATGAACTAATTCAGAGCCTGTGGGAGAGCCAGTTTGAATGTAAGAAAGTGCTTGCCATGAGCTGTTTTCCTAAGGTGATTCCAGCTGCCAAGTCCTCAACCATGTCCCACCTCTGTCAGGCTTGGATCAGCACCAGCTCATCTCCAGGACTCTGCCTGAAGGCTAAGGCCTTAGGGGGAGGTTGTGTGCCTAGGTCTTCTAGTCCAGAGAAGATTTTCCTCTCCCTTCTCGGTTTCCCTCGCTGCCCTTGGGGCTCACCAATCTTGATTCTGTGGAAGAGAAGGCCTAGGCTCCTGAGCTGCTCCGGCCTCAGGCCGCCCTTGAGAGGCTCTCTCCTCCACTTTGGTCGTTGCGCTCTGGGGGCCCACGCCTGCGTTCAAGGGGGGCTTGGAGGTCATTTGGGCCTCGGGTTCCCTGTAGGCCCAAATCAGGACCTAGAAACTTCCCTCTACCCCCAGCACTGAGCCGCCTGGAGATCTGCGGCTTCCTGTCTCCCTGCGGGGTGGGCCCTAAACCATTGTTCCAAGGTCAGCCAGTCTCCCGGACTCGCCAACAGAAAAACGCTCGGAAACTCTGGCCGGCCCTCCTCGCAGCGGCAAGCCGCGCTCTGGGTCCCCGGGACTTGGGTGTTTCGCGGCCCCAGGCGTCTCTGGACCCGCATCCGTGTTGTGCCCCTGTTCCACGGCATCCCGGGCGCGCTCCGCCGACTGCGCTCGGGGCTCCGAGCTGGGCTCCGCACCTGCGATGCTCCCACCTGTGGCGAGGCCGGAGGGGCCTCCCAGCCGGCCGGGAGTGAGGCCTCCGCAGCCGGGAACCCCGCGCCCCTGGGCTCCGCTGCAACTGTTCCCTCTGGACGCCTGGAGCCGGTAAGAAGCACCCGCTTTAAAGCACCCGCGGGCAGCGCAAAACGAGTGGTTGGAGAAACGGCGAAGTGCGGTGGAAACAACTCCAGGTCGAGTTTAATAGCCAAAACGCTCCGCGCTTTTGGCCTTACGCCGGGGGTAGATATGAAGGGGGCAGGACGAATACCTTGGTTCCCCTCGGGGCAGTAGATACCCGGAGTCACTCACTGCTCAGCCCCGCACCTCCCTACCCCGACTCCTGCCTCCCGCAAGCCTAATGGTTTTGGGGGTGACGAAGCCACGGGCCCTGAGGTCCCCAGTCCCGAAGGAATCGAACGTGCACTCACCGTAGCAGGGGACCTGCAAGGCCGCGTTGTGGCTGCCGCTGCCTTCCTGGAGTTTGAGGCTGCCGTCCGGGGGCGTCTTGCAGGCGCCTCGCTGCAAGTAGAGATGCTGTTGCGGCGCCGGCGGCTGCGGCTGTGACTGCGGCTGCGGCGGCTGCGGGGCCGGTGGCTGGGGCTGGGGCTGGAACTTGTTAAAGGAGCCCCGCGCTCCGGCGCCGCTCTCCAGAGGTGCCGCCAGGTCCTGTTGCCCTGCGCCGTAGCGGGCCCGGCTCTTGGCGTCCCCGAATCCCTGCCCTTTGGTGGCGGCGGATAGGAAAGTCGTGCCGAACTTATCGCCGCCGGCGTATGCCCTAAAAGGCGACGAGCCCTCCCGACTCTGCGACACCGGGCTGTAGTAGGCGTCCATGGCAGCAGCCGGCGACTCGCTGTAAGAGACGCAAGTCTCAGCATTCATGCCTGGCTTGCGCGGGCGACGGGCGGGGGCGCGAGCGAGAGCGCGAGGACGCCACCGCGCGCCCTGGCCGGGAGTTTGGAGAGGCGAGGAGGCGGTGGCTGTGCGCTCCGCGCGGGCCTGCTCACTCTCCCTCCTCCTGCCACGGGTCTCTCTCTCTCTCTCTCTCTCTCTCCTCGCCCCCCTCCTTCCCCACAGCTGGCTCAGGGAAAGAATCGAGGGCTGTAAAAAGATTCAGATGTTTCGGAAAGTTGACCAGATCTTTCAAACCCTCTTAAGGTTTGGGAGGGGGGTGGTAAAGGAGAGTGAGTTTTTTTCCTGACTCTCTCCTTCCTTCTCCCCTCCTTCTCACCCTCCTCCTCTCTCCCTACTCTCCTTCCAATCTCCCTGCGTCTTTTTTTCGCTCTCTTATGGAGATGCTACTAAATCGCTCGCAGAGGATTCAACTCGGAGGCGCCCTGCGGCTTTTCCGACTCTAGGCTGGGTAGGGAGGTGTCGGGACCTCAGGGCTCCAGAGGCTAGGCTGAGAATTACCGGGTCCCAGCTTTGGCCTAGGGAAGGGGGGCATGCAAAAATCTTCAGTAACAAATTAAAAAAAAAAAGCCTAACAGGTTTTGACATTCGGAGTCAGATGGGCCGCTAGCCTTCGACTGCAGGCGAGTCGTTTGCACACTTCGGCGTGAATTTGGCGGCGTAGCTGCGGGCCTCCCCACTGGTGCCTTTCCCTCTGTGTTTCCAACCCCTCTTCCCTATTCTCGGCTCCTCCAAGAAATTAACACACACACGCCGCAGTCGTCCTGTGTATGACCACTTTCACGTCTGGTTAACTATCTCCCTCCGCTGCAAGGGCGCTGGGTACGGATGGGCCTTTATTCACTCAACCACGGGGAGAAAACCTCGACCAGGCCAGTCTTCAGAAACTTGAGAGCGCTGCCGCTTCCCCAGCCCTCCTAGCCTGGGACCCAGACACGGACTCCTCAGGTCTGCGCCCAACCCAGGGGATTTTCTGGATGGCCGGTTGAGAGTTTGGAGACCCGCTGGCCGCGCCCAAACGTCCCGTTGTCACCTGTTCACTGCTCATGGTGGAGGTGAGGCAGTCTCTAATCTCTGATTTGATGGGTTGTGGTTTCACTCACCGACGCGCGCCCCAGGGCCCTGGGACCCGCCACAGCAAGGAAAAATAACTTTTACGGCTCGTGGAGCCCCCTCCACGCGGCTAATTATCGACTGCACCTCACAACAACCGTGAGTGGTGAAGATTGGGATCCCTAATTTTCCGATGAGCAAACCAAGGCTCAGAAAGGTGCAGTCACCTGGCTGAGGTCACACAGCCCATAAGTAGCAGCGCCCGCTGGAACCCATGCTAAAGGTAGTCCCTCCTCCGACCTGGGATGACGTTGCCGACAAAGAAAACGCAAAGAACCGAAGAACCGAGGAAATGGGTTTCCGACTGCGGAATGACTCCGTTTGAAGGAGACTAGTTAGAGCAGCCCTCAATAAACTGCAGAGAAAGTCCGCCGCTGGAGGACGTACCTCAAGGGAGTCTGTGACTGGGGTGAGAGGTGAAGAGGCAAAGTAAAATGAGAGAGAGCCTGAGTGCTCTGAACCCAGGAGTGCGGGTCAGAAGTCAATCTTCTGCACCTAAGGTCTCCCAAAGAAAAAATATCTGGGGGGTCGTGCTTCTCCTCCCAACCTCATCCGGGCTAATCCTCACCCTCACCCCACTCCCTTATCTCTCTGCTCTGAGCTCTGCCTCCGACTGCGCGATCCCACATCTGGTTTCCATCGCAGCTTACCTTGAAGTGCTCGTTAATAAAGATATTCCGCAACCCCTGGCCAGGGGTGCACGGGCCTGAATCCCTCCCCCATCGTCCATCGGGACCGCGCCTTTCTGGCCTGCAGACCTAAGCCTCGTGATGCTCTTATATTTATTGAGGGCCTATTGTGCCCGAAGCCATCCATAGATCTTTCTCTTGGCCACCCCCAACAATCTGGCGATGCTCGCCTTACCGTGCCCATTTTGCAAACGGGTAGACTGAAACGCAAAGAAAACAAGAATTTTCCAAGCTCACATAGCAAAAAGTGGGTGAGCCTGCTATCATCCCAAATGCCCCTGTCCAGTTGAAGTTTCTTTCAGTTCTTTGAAACTGCCAAATTCTAAATCCCCTAATCTCAGCGCTGTGCTTTTGGCTCGCTAATGATCTGGGGTTCAGCCTAGAGTTTCTTACTCCAGAAAGCCTCCCCATCTGTCCCAGTCTGCTTTGGTGCCTCCATTTGTCACATCAGCGTCCTGGACTTCGTGGTTATCTGGTTGCCGAGGTGGGTGTTCATCTCGACCTCACAATATTTGTGCCCCACAAATAGTTGTGGAATAAAATATTAAAACCAGGGCAGTTGGACCCTGGGTCCCTTCCACTGCCCAGTGAGACACCAGTTCCCAACGTCTTTGGTTTCCTCTAACCAAGGACAAGTTGCTCTCCCTCTCCCTCTTCATGAATCAAGTGACAAAATTAAGAGTATGCTGGCCTCTCCCAGGCTGCGCAAGAACAGTGAGTTCTCTTAGAACAGGGGCCAGGGCTTGCCACAATGTAGGCACTCATAAAATGTGTGTTGAATGAATGAATGAATGAATGAAAACGCCTTGTGGTCCCGGAGCTTAGAGGTGCATTTTTGCCAGGAGTTCCAAGCGAGCAAGCTACTCAGGTCCCGTGTGCCCCGAAGCTGCCTGCAAGCACTCAGATGGTGGCAGCATTCCCTTCACTTCTCCCCCCACCTCCAATTTCAGGCCTAGATACAAGGGGAAGACTATGTGAAGCAAAACACAGGGGGTGGTATGGGGTGGGGAGTGACCCCAAGACAGGTACAATTTCACTTACACAATATTCTGGGTAACCTCTGCGCTGTCTGCACTCAGTGCAAAGGAAGCTTGCTTTGAGTGCTACCTCTCACCACCTACCCACCCTGTGCTTTTATTACCTGTTTAATTACTGCCTCAGCCACCGGGGATTTCAACCCAAGCACTGAGGCGCAGCATTTGATGTCCTCAGCCAGATCCATCCTGGTGCACTGAGGTCCTTTGTCCTTGGAACCCGCACAAGGGCCTTCTACCATTTTACATTAGACTGTAGAGTTGGACTCAGAAAGAGTGAACGTGTGCCTGCGGGTTTGCCAGCAACCGTGTGAGAACCTTCTGGGCATGTCATTTACCTCACGAAAGCCACCACCAACTCCCTCTCCTAAGTCCCTTCAAATACACCTTTCTGAGGATAATGCTAATAAGTGTAGCTGGTTATTTCTGTGTGCGTTCAATCGTTGGTCAGGCCAACGGCCCATCCATCGGCCCACCCATCGGCCCATCCATCGTCAGTACTCAGTCCATCCCTCTATCCATCCATTCATAGCCGAAAGCTGAGCCACTCCCACTCAGTTCCTCCTCAAGGGTGCAGGGAACCCTTTGAAGCTGCCTGGTGACACTAAGGGCACTGAAGCTTGGTTCTGGCTCTGGCCTCTGCTGGTTATTTCTCCCAAAGCTAAGGCTGCCCCTGGTTTACCGTTTGTCTCTAATCTCCTTTCCTCCTGCTCCCCCACTCTTGATACTGCTGGCCCTTCCTTGCACTTCTGGTTCCTCTGTTAGGACCAGGAATGGCGGGGGTCAGCAGGGCCTTCTGCTTCAAGTCCCGTACCCCCACCCACTGACAAGCACCACCTTGGCTGCCCGCTTCTACCTCCCTTTGACATCGACCGCTCAGCCCTCCTGAGAGCAGCTTCTCCCTTCCGTGGGCTCCGCACAGGGCTGGGGAAGGGCAAGTGATGAAGAAAAGTCTTTCTTTGTCAAGGCCAAGTGCTCAGTGTCACCTCCTCTGGGAGACCTTCGTTCACCACCCTTGCCACTGCTGTCACATCTGCCCGTTTATTTCCTCTGCAGCATCTCTCCTGACCTGACATTATCTCCCATGTTGATTTAGTGTCTGTCTTCCTACTAGAATGCGAGTCCAAGGCTACTGTCTCCCAGGTAGGGAGTCCAGTGCTAGGCACACAGCACTGTTCAGTAAATATCTGTTGAGTGAATAACTAAAGGAGTGAATGAACCAATAAATGAATGAACGAACGAATGAATATTGGAGGAGCATTGCCCCAGGTTTGGAGAGTAACTTTCCAGTCCCTGTGGTTCCCGGCTGGAGCTCTTGAGGTCAGGGGTGTAGGACTGAATTTGAAGGCATGGCAGATACTAGTTTCTTTCAAAGAAGGACGGATTCAGAACCATCTTCTTTGGTGTAAGCTCCCTCCAACCCTGCACTCTCTCCCCACCCACGTTTTGGACAAACAGTGGAGCTCAGGGCTGAGGGTACTCCAGCTCCACCTGGCAGATCCACTTATCTTCTCCAAGACCTCGGCTGATCGCCCATAAGCCCCGACTTGCCGTGTGGATAAAATGGCACCGTACCCACCTCAGCGAATGTGTACTCTACTTGGATCCAAGTCGCCACTCTGTAAATCCCAGGAGGCAACAAAGACTGCTCAGAAATTTGGGGATGCTAAAAGAACACTTCGGACAACTGCAAAGGGGGCGGAAAGAGTCAAGATATACATGGAGGTGGGGCAGAAATCTTGCGCAGGAACCCCGCTGCCCTGCAGAGCCCGGTACACAAACCGCACATTCTAGACATAACATATTATTAGCCATCGCGTATGGGACAACCGTTACAAGTCAGCTCTTGCACACTGATTATCTTTGCCGTTCTCACAATAACCCTATGGTGGTACTATTATCCTCACTTTAGATTGATTTAAAAAATGGAACCACAAAGAAGTGAAGCAATTGCTTATGACCACATAGCGAAGCTGAGGACTTGGGATTCGAACTCAAGTGAGTTGACATCAGAAGCCATGCTCTCAACCACCGCGCGTTCTCAGAGATCTGTCTCTACAAACAAGTCTGGTTCTCTGAGATCTCTGGGGACCCACGGATTGAAAGGTTCCAGATCCCTCTCGGCCTGAAGGGCACGTGGAGAAGCTCGCACTTCTCCACGTGCCCTGGGCGCGCGGGCACCACAGCGGCAAGCCAGGCCACGGACTCGGATACTCGCCAGTCCCGGCCACACTCACAGACCCACCGTGCCCTCCG